TTTTTTTTCATAAAAATTACGATAATTACTATGAAAAAAAAGAAAGAAACTAACTACCTATATGAAATGGTGTTTAAGTGATTCCTAAAGTCCTTTAAATGTAATTACACGAACAATAATACTTTAAGAGATAATTTTTTAATATATTTTTTCCTTAAAACATGGTTATATTTTACCATTTTGGGGGAGAGCCCCGAAAGGGGCTGAAGCCCTCCCCTCCTCCCCCCGTAGATCTCCCATGCACACAGTCACACACACGCAGAGACCATTTTGATTTGATTTGATTTGTATTTGGTTATTTTGACTCAGGAGACCTCAAAAAATGTATTTCCGTTGAAAACTCAGAGTCGAAAATTTTCACGATCGCAATACTGTCCCTTACTATATATTTCATGTACAGGTAAGTGAAAGTAAAAATGTTTAATCATTGCCTAACTTGTTCCTACACTAACCCAATGTTGGGGAAAATTATGTAAGTACTTTTCTTTTCTTTTTAATGGTTTTAAATAGGAAATTATTTAAATCAAATTAAAAATGTTAATTTTAAAGAAATGTAAATGACTGGTTGAATATAGAACCTATAATGCTTTATTTATTTAATTGTGAATGCTGGAGGCTGAACAAAATATCCCCGAAACGTTCAAATATAATTGATTTGAAAAGACATTATAAATTATGAGTTTTTATTTTGTTCAATCAGAGCTATGTGTTAAGAGGGAGGAGAAAATAATAATTCTTATATTAATTTAATTCATATTTATTAAATTAGTTATGGTAGTTGGAAGATCTTCTTCATCTTCGATAACTCTACAACTCATAGGAGAGTTAAGACTTCCCTCAGTCGGACACACCAGTCTTCTCCCAGTTTTGTGTAGCCCAATAACCTTGTACATCGTAAGTTGCATTGAATGGAGGTAGAAGGTTTCTTTTTATCTTCTTGTACGAAATATAAATGAGATTTAAAATCCAAGTAATCAATCTCGGCGCCCTCGGATCACTTTTGAATATCCCCAAAACTGCTATATTTTCTCACTTTTCTCCCATTTTATCCATGAAGGAGCACGTTTTCGACAAGAAACATTCTATACCTTTTTTAACTAGATTAAATATGCTACAATTTAACACCAGAACAGGTTTAGTAAATCAAATAGTTTACTAGATATAGATTTTCAACTTTTGGAAAAAATTATTTTCCACTTAAATTATTTTTCATGTTTGATCATTTGCAATTGTCTTTTATCTTCAATAACCTCTCTGATATTAATCAACGAAGTAAACATCCCTTTTTAATATTTTGAAGGAGAGGTGATGGGAGAGGAAAAAGATTTGGTGGAAGAGGGTAGGAAGTCCGTGCAGCCTCCCTCCACATCACTATCGATTTCATATCTTTGTGTTTCTTGTAACTATATATTTAAAAAAGGCAATGTCCCCATTGAAATTTGTCCATAAAAAAAGTGGCCGCTCTGTCCCAAAATGACGTCCAAACATGGCTGAGTGATGACTAGGACGAGTTATTTTTTCGGTCACTGAGATTCAGCAGTTGGCTCAATTTCTTCCTAATTGAAGTTGGATAGTCAGATAGTCCTTGGTACAGGCCTCTTTTTATCGAAATATTAACATCCACCTGAAACTAAGTAAATAGTTTCATCTCATCATAACCTACAACCACTAGCGGATTCAGAATTTAATTTGAGGGGGAGGGCTTCAGCCTGAGAGATTTTTTTTTCATATAAATATAATGATAATTAATTTGAAAAAAAAATGAAATTAACTACCTATATGAAATGGTGTATAAGTGGTTCTTGAAGTCCTATTAAATGTAATTAAACGAACAAGAATGCTTTAAGAGATAATTTTTAATATTTTTTCCGTAAAACATGATTATATTTTAGCATTTTAGGGGGGCTTCAGCCCGACAGCCCTCCCCCCTCCGTAGATCCGCCTGTGCCTACAACTATTTTATTTACGAAAACTCTTGGAATTGGACCGTTTTCAATCTGGAGGGGGGCAAACTTTGTCTATTTAATTAGGTACTAAAAACTCGTAAATACCTATTTGCTTTTTACTACGATCCAAGAAGAATGCAAATGATTATTTACGAGTTTTTAGTAGCTAATTAAATAGACAAAGTTTGCCCCTCCCCCTCCAGATTGAAAACGCCTTAATCCCAACAGTTTCAGTAAATAATATAGTTGTAGGTTGCCATGAGATGAAACTATTTACGAAGTTTCAGGCGGATGTTTATAATTCAATAAAAAGGAGTCTGTACCACGGACTAAGAGTATAATAAAGCTTTAAAAAATAATTGTCCTTGGCAATAAAAAATACCAGTTAAGTCAATTTTGCAAGTCGTTCAAACTAAAGTTGAAAATCAAGAGTCATTTGTAATTAAACGGTCAACAATGACGAAAAACGCCTTAATATAAAACATCTAGAGAATACATTTATCTTTCTAAATCACCGATTAATTTGTAAACAAATTTGAAATAGTTCTTTTGAAAATGCATTTGATCGGCGGAAAAGCGGCACTAGCGTAGGCGCCAACGAAAAATATCGAACGCAATAAATGACACAGGTTATTCCTGATCACGTATTTTCTTAATTATTTATAGCTCTTGTTATTTATAGCCATTTCTATATCCATATATCCTACTCCTTCAAAATAATGTTTACTTGACTAACTCTTGTAAGAAAGGTTATTGAAGACATAAACATGAAATTAGCTTACCATTTTGCAAGTTCCGAAAATTTCATTGACTTTATTTACAATTTTTGTATGCACTTAAAGGAAATGTTAGTAAAATATTTTTTATTTCTTTCAATTTCAGTCTTTTAATTGTGAAAGCGATCTCTCCCTTTTCCAACTAAACCTCCCATCCTCCCATCCTAATCCCTCCTTCAAAATATTAAAATGAATAAAAATATACTTCAAAAGACAAGGACATATGATCAAACAGGAAAAATATCTTAAAATATTCAACTTCGAAAGATTTCCAATACTTTGAAAACCTGTATTTCAAAAATAATTTAACTACCGAACCTGTTTTGGTTTTTAATTGTAGCATATTTAATCTAATTTAAAACTGTATGGAATGTTTTTTGTCAATAACGTGCTCCCTCATGTTCAAAATGGCGAAAACCTGATTAAAGTGCGAAAATATAGCAGTTTTTGGGATATTCAAAAGTGATCCGGGGAGAGAGGAGCGAAAGGGGGATAGATTTTGCATCTCAGTCACATCCCATAAAAAGAGTTTCTTATTCTCAACAGTTTCTGAGCATCTACTACACAACCCACCCAACGCATGCGAGGTTTTCCAACTTTTCTCAAATATTTATCTTATAAGACAATTCGGAGACTTTATTACTGGTTTATCTTGAAACCAGGCTCTGGAGGTGGCCCAATATCATTGTTTTATAATTGTTTAGCACCCCCAAAAATAATTGTTTTGTATTCATTTACATCCGCAAATTTTTGGAGTCCCATTGTTAAGTTCTCAATATAAATGTTTTGTACTTTTTATGGCCATAAACTGAATGATTAGGGCCCCTTATTAGAGCCCCAAATATCATTATATTGTGTTTGTCTAGTACCATTTTATGTTTGGCTCTCATTTATTTTCTTAAAATTTTTGGGGCTCTTTCAATGGGCCTCCAATATGTAAGTTTTTACATTTATATCGCTGTCAAATGATTGGGAGCTCCATCTTCAGGGTCCCGAATATCCTTGTGTTGTATTTATGTAGTACCATTGTGTGTTTGGCCCCAAAAATAATTGTTTAGGATTTGTTTTCTGTATTTTTTTTATGCCCTCCACTGAGTCTCCAACATAATTATTACGTGTTTTTTTATCGCCGTAAAATGTTTAGGAGCCCTTTCTTAGGACCCAAAATACCGTCATTTTTTATTTATCTAGTACCGTTGAATGTACGGCTTCCAAAATAATTGTTTTGTATTCGTTTTCTGATATTTTTTGCGACTTCTCCGATGGGCCCCCAATATATATGTTTCTTTTACATCCGTAGAATGATTGGGGCCCTTTCTGAGGATACCAAAAGATCGTTATTTCGTATTTATCTAGTAACCAAAACATTATTTTTGTAAATATATTATATATTTAAATTCCTGGAAACCAGTTTTATACATATTGTTAAGGAAACCACACTTTAGATTCTAGTTTAGGCTCTCAAACGGTGTCAGACCGGACCTGTGGTTTAGTGAAGGGGTCTCTAAACTACAGTACGCGGGTCAGATCTGACCCATAAGCACCTCCAGTCCGGCTCGCGAAAGTTCCTGCGTTTACAAGAAAAAATAAAAAAAAATATTTAAAAAGTATGATATTTAGTAAATCATTCAAATACCAGGTTACTACAACATTTATTGCATGAGGTATCTCTCTCTTAGAAAGCTCATTTCACTGCAGAAGTGTCATTTATAGAACAAGATATTTTTTTTTTCATCGCAAGCCATGGCCTACAGAACTTACAAGGATATTTCAATCCGTTCCCCGGGACTTACAAGTAGGTCTCGCTTGTGGTTTATAAACATATATGCTTAAGTCATTATCGCTAAAATTTTGGCCACATAAAAGTCAGTGTTGAAAAACCTATGTTGACCAACACTAAAAAACAGGTCATGTGCGAGACTTCTGTGAGTAAGGTACTACGGAACCGATTTTGACAAAGATGGGAGAATATTTAAGAAGAACAACGTCACTTGTGATGAAAAGTGGGTCTATGTTACTACCATTAAAGAAGGGAGAAGGCTACATTGAAGTTGAAAACTCGATGGGGCGGGAATGGCATAGCGGGCTAAGGCGTGTCCACGGCACTAGGAATTGCATGCCAACCCGAATAGAAGATTGTGTTAAAATAATACTGAGTTCGCGTCTCGTTCGTATTCAGTAAGAACAATTAATTTGAAATTAAATTTTGTCCATTCGTGATTGCTCATTGTCTACTATGTGTCGTCATCATGTTTGTTTGTACTTTTGGTTTCTTGTTGTTCTACCTCTTTTCTTCCTAAGAAACACCAACAAAGTTCAGGTTGTTTACAATCATTTTACAAATTGTTGTTTTTAAAAAAGTTCATGTTTTTCGGGTAGATTAATAGAGTGACAGTTCATTTTATTGTTTTAAAGGACTGAAATTGGATGGTTTCGTTTAGTTATTGTTACTCTCAAATTTGAATCATGAAGACCAAGTATTCTTCAAAAAAGGAATCCAAAGGCAAAGATTCAGCCAATTATCAGAGCAACGGTAAACATAAAGATGGAAGGAGCCAATCATCAGAAACTACTGAAGAATTTGATTTTGCTTTTCCTATATTACAAACTGTTGATAGGACAAGACATCTTCATTGTTATTCTTCAAGTTAGTATTATTACCTAAGGAGATCTATTTTTGATTCTTATTAATTTATATTTGACACTTTACTTTAAAATAGCATGAAGTTGTGTAACTAATGTTTAAAACTGATTATAATTTAATGATAATGAACATTTAAATTATGTTATTAGTGATTAAATGATTTTATAAAATTATTGATAGCATTGTTGGTTTGGTTGTGCCAATATATTTGTATTTTATTTTGTCTTAGTAATATAACTTTATTGTAATGTTCACTTGATTCAAACTTGTAGAGGTGTTTTGAAATTTGTTGATCAGCTTTACTGACAGACAGTTCCTTAACATCTTCCTCTAATATTATTCACTAGATCAGCACGTTAGATATTGCAGCTTTTACATACAATTAATCCAATCTCTCATGTCATTTAGGTCTGTGGAAGTGGGGTATCCACTTATCGATTTTTGTCAGAAAATTGTTTTTCTTGTATACTACATTCCTTATAATTAAAAATTAAAATTTTCTTTCTATGGAGTGGAGAGGAGGCCTTACTCCCTCTGGATCTGCCAATGTTCTGAGGATCTTTGTTAATAATCCCTTATATCCTCCATTCCAAGCAAATATTTGCCATTCTTAACTATCTTATTTTCATGTCATATAGCGCTAATATTTCTTGAACAAGATCTAATAGGTGTTCTTAGATGTCCTTACTCCAACCTTATTCTTGTTTCTGTACCACTACAACATATGAAATCTCTTGGGTTCAGTACTTGGTACTCCTTTGTGAGCACAAGATCTCATGTTCACATTAGATTAACCTCAATATTGAAATCTCAAATTATTTTTAATTTCTATGAATATCTTATTGGTCTTTTTCATTAACAATCAAGACCTTGATTAGCTTAATTAAATAGCTACTTTCAAAAGAGATACATATACTCCTAGTGGGTGAATTTCGAGTAAGGTTGGGTTCTTTCCTGGGGGGTTTTATCTAATGGTTTGGTCACTTTTGTTTACTTTTGGAATGTTCAAAATTAAACCATCCTCCATCCTCAGAATTCCATTTATTGTGTGATCATGAGATCTAGTGTCCACCTATCTAAGGGCAGAAACCATTGTAAAGTAGTACCCTGTATTTTGCTAGGAACTACTGTTTCTTGGGCAACAGTTGTGTAAAATGATTTGACCGAGATCAGTCCTAACTAATAATTAGAAAATCATTGTTAAAAAAAAATTGCAGCTTTTATTCTCCAATCTTTAAAAAATAATAAATAAATAGTAATTTAATTTTAAAACAGTTTTGGATGGGCCTTGGAGATTGGTGTGGTACAGGAGCTAATAGACAAAGCATAGCTAATAGACATTTGGAGGATAATAGTTAGTAGTGTGCTTATTGGAAAATGATGCCTGGTTTTTACCTGTTCTGGGATTAAGTCTGGTTTAATTAAATAAACTGATCGTTGTTACGGTTTAAATTAATAGGTTGCATTGGCTGAGGATGTCAATGCGTCAACTTCAAGTCTAGTGACATTGGTTTAAATTCTGAATGGGCAAGTTGAAATTTATTTTGGGGCAGACCCACTGAATAAATCTCATACCTTCAACTCCGGTTAGAATAAGTTGATTAGACCTGTAGGATAACCCTCTCCTCTCTCATTTGTCAAGAAAAAAAAATTAAGCTATAATTCAATTATTTTTAACAAAAAATTTTAATATATTTGTGTATAGTTTTCTTGTAGTAGCTGTTATTTTGAAGATGGGATGGATGAACACGTTGGGACATTGTGGTGGTAACCTCAAGATAGCCGTCAGGATTATGACAAAAAGGACCATATGGCTCACTTGCTAGACTAGTTTCTTCCATCAATATCATTACTAGTAACTGTTATTTAAAACAGAAAATTTATGATTTAATAAATAGATATTCTTTTGTTACAGTGTTGATTGATTATGCAAAATCATTCTAAGTTTGTCATAAATACTTAAATATCTCTCTATTACATAAAATACACTCTATTTTACATACACAAAGAGGGATAGACCGTAAAGAAGACACCAGCCGATGGACCGTTACGAAGACACACTTCTTGTTCACAGAATTATTTCTCCCTTATTATGGTTACAAATTGGCAATAAGATACAATGCATAATATGGACTTTTAAAGAAATTAAAAATTTGTTTCTATTATGAATAAGGGGTTGTCAAGATATAATAATCACTTTGACTCAGTACAACTCAAGAACTAAGAATTTATTGTTACAACAAATTTAACGCACTAATCAAAGAATATAAAGTTATTTTTTGTCCTCGCCTGTTAGGCTATACTTTTCCTGTTTTCCCGGGCCATGAGGTGAGAGCGCGGGATTAATGCCAGAGTTGAAAAGTCTCTCCTGAGGGACTTATTTTTATCAAATTATCTTGGATCCGGCTTGCCAGGCAATATGTGGTGCTGTGCACACACATAAGCCCGCTTGGCCACCCCGCTCCTAACAATGTACACTATTTACAAACAAATATTTTGTCTATCCTCTATGCTATATCTACAATGTTACCTCCTTGCAGTCTTCTCACGTATACAGTGTTGCTATGATATGAGATTCATTCTCAGGCACTTCCCTGCACTGTGGTTTCGTTCCTTTTATTTTATGTTGACTGCAGAATACATGTAAATTACAGTTATTATTAACAATTTGAGCAATGAGCAGTATAATTCAATGAACAATTGTATACTTTGTAAATTGAGGATTGGTCCACAGTTGGGCGGACTGGGGTTACACCCTTAGTTCTTATATAATTTTATCTATTATTTTTAGTTTTGGCTCGTAGTAAAGATGAACCTGTTACAATGGAAGATCTTGATAGGCTTCAACCAGAACTGGAAGTTATGTTTTCCTGTGCTGCAATCAGGGTTCGTACTCTGAAAGCAGAAATAACTGCATTGACCAATGCTGAAGAAAATAAAGCAGAAATCAAACCAGTATCCTTAGTCATGAGTCAGGTAAAGAACTAGTTATGCTTCTGTTTCTGTATGTATATAATATTATATTTTTTTCTTAATCAAATGTTGTTTAACTTTAATATCTATTATCTTAGAAATTTATATGTAAATGCAATCCAGTATTGAAAAATCACTTTTGTTGGTTTAGCTTATTTACTTTAAAAGAGAGAAAGATGATGAAATAATAAATAAATCTGAGGTAAATTCAAAAAGAATCTTGCTTTATTTTTTCTAAACTTATTTATCTACTTAACATTTTTAATTCATTTACAATAAAAGATATTGAATATTTAATAGTTGACCGTTGAATTATAAAGGAAGGAAATGATCCGGGGTGGTGGTCATAAATAGGCTAAATAGTGGCAAAACTAGCCTATTTATGACCACCACCCCAGACCATCTCCTTCCAAAATAAAAGATTAATTTTACTGAAGATTAATAAAAAAAAATGTTTGTGTCTAGAAAAAAAGAAAGCTCAGTGATGCTCGTTTTACCAAATCTTTAAAGGATTTATCAAAAGTTCGTAACCGAGATGGACTTAACAAAGACAGTGTATCCAGTGAAAATGACACGGTAAGGCCGATATTTTATTAAGCTGTGTTAATTAATTAATTTTATTTTTAATGAGTGTTTCTGTATTTATTTTTAAATGTTATAATAATTTTACTATCCAAAACATCTGCTTCAATTATTCTTAAGTATCTTTTTTTCCATGTTGATCATGATCTTATCGATTTTATTGAAGGGTTTTATCAAAGGGATTCAAGATTTGAGTATTTGTTCAACTTACCTTGTTTTTTCTAATTTCGTACCTTACTTTTATACCCATACACTTTTGTAAAAAAAATAAATATTGTTTGACTTAAATTTTCAAAATTAAATATTTTAATGCTCTGAAACATAAAATTTATTTATATTTAATAATTTATTTTAAAAATAATTGCCATGAAAATTGTGATAAGTATTGACATCATTGTTTATAACAAATTTATTAATGAAAATGCGATAGAACCTTGCTGAGGCTCTCTGGGTCAATTGACAAACATTTTATTTTCGTATAAAGTTAATATGTAAGTATATATATTAGTATATTATAGTATGAAGTTAATATATACGTTTATGTAGATAGATTCATAAAGAAGGGATTCTCTATCAAGTTTTTATAATATAATTAATAGCACTTGGAATTATCTTTTAATTTATCAAAACATCAAGTTTAGTAAAATAACAAAAAAACATCAACAAAATAACTTTTTACATACTATTAAAGACTGAATGGGCATTTGTACTTGAATCATATTTCTAAAAAACAATTATTTAAATTTTACAATAAATTGGGTGTGATTTATTCAACTTCATCATTTTTTAATATACTATAATTTAATATTGAAGTTTTTTCTTTTATCCATTCGGGATTAACTGACTCTCCACCTAGTCAGTGATCTCTTGATCCCAATTAGGACGGACAAATGGGGTTATACTATACTATTGTTTGGTATTTAATCCATTCGAGTATTTTAGAAATACCTTAAACATTTGTTCTTTTATTTTTGATTATCTGGATATTGTATCCTATTTATTTTATGTTCTTACTTAACATAAATGTTATAGCTTTTGCTGTTAATTATTTAAAGATAACATATTAATGATGTTAACATGATATGACAAAGGTGTATGATATTTAATTTTAGAGTATTTTTAAATATTTTTGTATAAACTCCTCATACAAATTCCATTGTAATATCACTATTATAATAAGTCATTAATGATATTAAAATATACCAATTTATTTAACTTGATATTTTGCATTTTGTAATTTGATACATCACTGACCGCAAATATTCCTTATTTCATTTTTGTGTTTATTGATGTTTAGAAATTGCAACAAAATAATGCAATTGTTATCTGTCCAATATTATCAGAACCTCAGTATTTTTTATTTTAATCTTTGTTTTGTTGTTTCATGTAGGACAATTCAGGAGATGTTGTCAATGAAACACCTGCAGAGTCTTCAAAGGTTACAATACCAAAGAATGATACTCCTAATAAGTTTTGGGCCTATGTGGAACCTTATGCCAAAGATATAACTAAAGAAAACATAAAGGTAAAACATTAACTGTAGGTTAAACTAGCATTGAATTTAATGTGTTTAACTGCACTTTTTTAATAGATGATAGAGATAAATGATAAAGAAAAAAATACAAAAATTTTAGTTGATTATTTTTTGTTAATTTATTTTCGAATTTTTAAGTACCAATTTTTATCTTATGAATTTTGGAACAGATTATAGAAAAACTCTATTAGGATTCTATAGGTCATCCTTCCTCCCATTACCAAAAAAGAATTAAACAATTTAGAAATTTTAATTTTATTAGAAATATGTTTTGGTTTCCTGTTCTTCATTAGGCTTAAATTACACGCAATAATCAATATCAAATTCTTTTAATATATTGATTATTGTGTAGTTATTTTATCCTGATTACGATTCTATTGACCTCCAGAAACTGTATAATATTCTAATCGAGCAGGGGATTCCTAAAAAATTAGTAAATCTAGTCAGGATGTGCTTGACGGAGAGACTAAATAAAGTTAGAATCGGTAATAATCTGTCCGAAAAATTTGAGGTTCGTTCGGGTTTAAAACAAGGGGATTCCCTTTCGCCTGTCCTGTTCAATTTGGCATTAAAACATGCCATTAGGGAGGTAATGCGAACCGAGAAAGGGTTGGATCTGCGTGGGGCAACATCCGTGCTGGGCTATGCTGATGATCTGGTACTGTTAAGCGAAGACGTTGAAACTATAAAACTAAATACGACAACGTTAATGAAAGCCGGGAAAGAACTAGGACTCGAAATAAACGTGGATAAAACAAAATATATGGTTAGCTGCAAAAATGGCGATACTACTGGTGATATCGATATAGATGGTAATATGTTTGAACAGGTTTAGGTATCTAGGTTCTACGATAACTAGAAAAAACGAAATTGAAGAAGAAATTAAGGTTAGACTGAAGGCGGGAAATGCTTGTTATTTTTCTGTGACAAAACTACTTAGTTCGCGCCTCTTGTCCCGAAACTTAAAAATTAGAATCTATAAAACAATTATCTTGCCTACAGTTCTTTATGGGTGCGAAACTTGGCCGCTTACATTAAGGGATGAGCAGCGTCTTAAGGTTTTTGAAAATTAAGTATTGCGTAGAATATTCGGACCGAAGAAGGACGAGTTAACCGGAGAGTTCAGACGGTTACACAACGCCAAATTGTGTGAACTGTATCCGAGTAATATAATTTAATTATTATATAATAATCCGAGTCTGGCCAGAGACAGCAACCAGTCAACATATCTCTGTGTTATTAAGTATTCTATTTTGTTAAAATTGCTTTGATTTCTGCCGTTTTTTTTTCTTTTTAATATTTTTTATTAAAAGAAATTATAGACATTTCATATTTCCTCTCTACTCATCGAAAAGTAAAAGTATCGAAGTTTTTATACTATTGCGAGCTACGGGACAGTGGTAAACAACTGAGCTCTAGAGGATTAAGCGCAGCTGCTGCTATTACGCATCATAACAACCCGGCTTGTTATTGTAAGTACGATCTATTTACTAAATAACAATATGGCACAATGCCCGCTATGCAGCAGCACCATCAGCCGAGAAGAGAAAAATATTTTATGTTGTGTTAAATGCAAACTTTTATTTCACAGCAGGTGCGGTAAACTCACTGATAAAGAGTTTGAAGCTCAAAAATCCTCAAAAAAAGGATGGATATGCGCTAGTTGCGATCAGCCTAAAAAGATTCCACCAGGTGGTGAAAACCCAGATCAAAGTCACAATACTGAGCCTACACCATCAGAAATTCTGGCAGCAGTAAAGCGGCTAGATATTTTTTTCAACCAGGAATTAAAAAATATTAAAGTAGCGCTAGACAAGTACGGAGATCTGAGCTTCGAAGTAAACACTAGGCTATCTAAAATTGAAAACCACTTAGAGGGACAATCTAAAAAGCTTGAAGAAATAATTTCAGAAAATAAAGCCCTCAAATCTAAAGTCGGTGAACTGGAGGTCAGGCTGAATAAAGCCGAACAGGGCTTGCTTAGTAGATCGCTCGAGATACGGGGCATCCCGGTTCGAGCAGGTGAGACTCCCGCAGCCCTGGTTACAAGTATTGGGGCCGGTCTGGGAATTAAAATCAATGTCGAAGATATAGATACTGTGCTGCGCCGAAGAGCAAGAAAAGATGACCCTCGACCACCGCCTATAATCGCGAAATTCGTCAGGCAGTCAGTGAGAGACGACCTGGTGCAGAAGCGAAAAGTAAAAAGGGACTTCTCGACGCGGGAAATCGGTTGGCAGGAAAATGACTGCCACCGTATTTATCTCAGCGAGGAAATGACCCCGACGAACAGGTACCTCTACTGGCTCGCTCGGCAGAAGAAATCAGCAGGGAAAATAAAATATATATGGTTCTCCGGCGGCAGACTGCGGTGTCGAAAGGATGACGGTCATCAGGTTGTCTTTATCGACCAGAGTCAAGACCTAGACGTCTTCGGCTGACTCTTCGATCCCTGTTTACTCCTCAACATCGATAAACAATTTGGCGTAGTTCACAGGACTTACACTGAAAATCTGAAATGTATGTTATGTTACTACCGGAAATTTTTGATTAATTTATTTCTATTGATTATTGCATTCAAAATTTTTTTTCTTTTTAATGGTTTTTTTTCTTATATTTTTATTTTTACATTATTTCATCTAATGTATCATATCCGATCCAGCGTCTGCTCACCAAATTCTGACTTTATTTTCCTCAAGCCTAATCATGTCTAGCATCCTTAATACCTGTCACGTCAACTCCCAATCCCTCCCTGCCCACTATGATGAATTCCTTGAATACTTTACCCATAATTGTTACCATATCATTGCAATTTCCGAAACCTGGCTCAAGCCTTACATCCCTTCCTCATCTGTTTCCCTTCCTAACTACACACTAATCCGCCACGACCGGACGAGCCGGACTGGCGGAGGTGTAGCGTTGTATGTTCACGAATGCATGAAGACCCGAATACTCCACTGCTCTCCACCATCCGATCACCCACATGTAGAGTTCCTAATCGCTGAAATTTCCTTTGATACATCTCCTATCCTTTATGTCGTAGTGTATAGACCTCCTCTTGTTCCCTTTGATCCATCATTTGAATCATCCCTCTTCAACTTTGTTCCTCTTTATACCAAAATAATCATCTCCGGAGACCTAAACACTAATTTCCTTTCCGATTCCAGCGATAAATCATACCTCGAAAACCTTTTTTTCTCTCTTCATCTTTTCATTGTTCCTTTTTCGCCCACTCATCACACCCCCAGGTCCGATACCTGGTTGGACCATTACATTATCGACTCCGCTCAGAACCTCCTTTCCTCCTCACAAGTACCGGTCTCCTTTTTATCCTCTCATGACCTAATTCAAATTTCATATAATATCCATACTCCTCCGATCCTACCTAGAACCATAACTTTCCGTAATATTGATGTCCTCACTCGTGAAAAAATCTTACCCTACCTGGAAACCCTTGATTGGAATGGAATATATTCCTGTTCATGTATTGACGCTATGGTTGATATTTTAACTTCCAACCTCCGTAATATCCTTGATTCCCATGCTCCCATCAAAACCTCTACCTTTCGTCGCCCCCCTGCTCCCTGGATGTGTCAGCAAATTAAAGATCTTCAGAAGAGACGCGATGCAGCCCGCAGACGCTTTAGACGCACTAGACTCGCTGACGACTACCAAGCGTTTAGGGTGCTCCGTAACCTGACACAAACCAATATCCGAAGAGCCAAATCCTCCTATTTCCACGAAGCCCTTTCAGCAGCTCCTGATTCCAAAACCAAATGGCAACTCCTTCGTAAACTCTCCCTCTGTGACTCTTCCAGATCACCTTCCTCAGCAGCCTTTCCAGTCAAACCTGATGATTTAAATTCATATTTTATATCAGCTTCCTCCTGCATTCCTCCATCAACCTTTTCCTTCTTTACTCCTGGAATATCATTTAACGACGACAACTTTTATTTTTCAGATATTTCTCCTACAGACCTCATATCCGCCGTCATGAAATCTCATTCCAATTCCATTGGTCCAGATGGTATTCCCGTCAAATTAATCAAATTATGCCTACCTGAAATCCTTCCCGCTCTACTTTTCATCTACAATTTCTCCCTTCAGAACGCAATATTCCCTTCCTCATGGAAAAAAGCCATTGTCCGTCCTTTACTTAAAAATCCTAACCCTTCTTCCCCTGAAGATTACCGTCCAATTTCAATTCTGTCTAACCTTGCAAAACCTCTAGAACGAATAGTCCAATCCCAAATTTCCAACTTCCTAGAACAATCCAATCAACTTGACCCTTACCAGTCTGGTTTTCGACCAGGCTACTCCACACAATCCGCCCTAATCAAAATCGTTAGTGATGTTCAGTCAGCCATAGATGATAAAAAACTAACGGTCCTTATCCTCCTGGACTTTTCCAAAGCCTTTGATACCATTAACCATTCCATCCTTTTCTCCAAATTGAAATCGTTATCCTTTTCCAACAGCTCTATCCTTTGGTTTCAATCATTCCTCTCTCAACGTACCCAAGCAGTCTCTATCCCGAACCAACCTTTATCATCCTATCTAACTCTGTCCTCAGGAGTGGCACAGGGCTCCAGCATATCTCCTCTCCTTTTTAGTTCATATATTAACGACCTTCATAAATCAATCCTTCACTGTTCACATCACCTTTATGCCGATGATTCCCAAATTTACCTCTCCTTCGCTCCCTCTGAATGGCATGATGCGTTTGCCAAAATACAAGAAGACCTAAATCGGATTTGTGCCTGGGCAAGTGAAAATGGATTAAGGTTAAACGTTGCTAAAACCCAAGCCATTGTCCTCGGTTCCAAACCCCTTCTCAGATCAAATACCAACATTCCTCTCCTGTACCTGAATGACCAACCCATCACCTTCAACACTTCAGTTAAAAACTTAGGTGTTATCATAGATCAAACCCTCTCCTGGAATCACCATATTTCCCTCATATCCCGACGTTCAATTTCCATCCTGAAACTCTTCCATCGCTTCCGCCATCTCCTACCCATATCCACACGTAGACTCCTAGTATCCGCCCTCATCTTCCCCCACATTGACTACGGCTGTGTAGTGTACGGTGGCCTCTCATCGGAACTTGGAGTCAGACTGAAAAGAATAATGAATGGCTTAGTACGATTTGTCAATGGGACCCCGAGACGTTCTCATGTTTCCCACTACTACGCCGAGTCAGGGTGGCTCTTCCCCTCCTTCAGAAGACAGTACTTCCTAGGTACATTCCTTTACCAAATAATCTATAATCATCGTCCTTCCTACGCATTCAATCTCCTTCAATTCAAGTCATCTATCCACTCCCTCTCCACAAGATCTCGTCCTTCCGACCTTTATACCCCTTTCCACAAATCGGCCTCATTTCAACACTCCTTTATTGTCCGATCCACAACATTTTGGAATTCCATCCCACTTAAAATCCGCCATGCACCATCCTTATCCACATTTAAAACCCTCCTTTTCCAATTCCTCCTTACAATTCAATCAGACGCTGGGTAGCCTATATTGTATTATTATACTATTGTTGCATTGTATATATGTATATGTATATATATATTAATATATGTATATTGTATATATACTATTGTACTATTATTGTATTCTCACTATTATTGTATTATTGGGTGTATATATTGTGTATGTACGATTACACTATTATTGTATTTCGATTATACTATTATGTTCTACGAACATACTACTATTACTTTAACATCTTTATTATTATCTGTCGCTCATTTATAATTTCATAGCGTATTGTGTATAGCAACTATTTTGCAGTATTAGGACATTATTTCTCATATTATGGCTTCCGATATCTGTACAGTTATGTAAACACTTCTTTTATCCCTTATTTTTTAGTTGTTTTTTTGTTTGTTTGTTTGTTTTTGTTTATTGTAATATACATTTTGGCCAGATGTAATGTTTAATTTTATGTACAATATTGTTATTCTCAAGGGACGTAGTCCCAGAATAAAGTTGATTCTTCTTTCTATCTATAATTGAGATAATTTCATCGTGACGAATCAAATGGGCTTGTAAAGTTGTTGGACTTAGTAACGAGAGAATACCTAAAAGATTAATATTTGCTGTGACAAATGGTAGGCGTCCGAGGGGTAGACCGAAGCGAAGGTGGGAAGATTGCAATAAAGCCGATCTGAAGGGCCTGGTTTGGACGGCGAACGGTGGAGGGAGGTGTGTAATAAGCGATTGGTGGTGTCGGCATCGAACCTTCGGGTTCGCTAAGCCTTTTTATTATTATTATTATTTTACCCTGATGAATATCTAGAGACCAAAACTGATCATTCTTCTGAAAATAAATAAAAAGAAGTTATAAACAAGTTACTATGAATCATGTTGCGGTTTACCTAAAAGTCAAATAACCATCCTGGAACTTTGAAGAATGAAAGAGATTTTCTGGTTGAGAATTTAGTCAAACAGAATCAGATGCATCTGAACAGCTTAACTAAATCTTTCAGTGAGAGTATGTAAGCAATGGTCTTAGCTTTGATCAGCAATTTCGGTGTTATTTGTTAAAACTTTTATAACTGATGAATTGATTCATTATTATTAATGAATTTTTGTAGTTGACCAAGAATTTTCTCTAAAAATTTGAGTCTGTAGGATGTCCATGTTTATTTTGTTTTTAGTTTTAGAAGGAGTTTATTGGGAGGGTTGTGATAAAATTAAATACCATATATTAATAGCATTTTATTAGTTACGCTGACATTTCTACCCACATTGTAAATCTTCATCAGAGTTGCAAAATATAAATTAGTACAAAGGAAAAAATGGATAAAATAAATGGATTATTAATGTCTACTTATAATTTATTTATTTTATTATTTTTTTACTTTGTACCAATTTATCTTATGTAGCCCCGATAAAGACCCTAAAATGGGTCAAAATGTATGCATAACCAATAAAATACTATTATAATATATAGTAATTAATTTGACAGCACCCTCCCTGATCAACTTTTCAAATTATAACTGTCTCACGGTCAATTACCTCCACTCTATTATTTTGTTTTTAGATTTTAACACCAAGTTCACAGGACAAACAAGTATGATCCTTCTAACTCAACATTACCATTGCCCATTTTTTTAGAAAAAGAAATCATAGTTTGTGGTATTTTTAGTTTATTATTGCATGTTGGTAAATTATTTTTTTAAATCTTGAAAAGTCAGAAATTTAAATAACCAACACTTAGCATAAATAAAGTAACTCAAAATCCTAATGTTCTATACTTACACAGTTTTATATTGAGAATGACAACATTTATGTTGATGAATGAAATTTAAAGCAAAAATTTTGTTAAATTTGAAAATATTTTTTTAATTAAATTTCAAGGTTATTTCTTTTTCTGAATGTTTAATCTGCAGGAGTACAACTTTGTGTATTGTTGAAATTTTATTTTCAGGACCTTGAAGATCTCGTGGCAGCTTGTGATACTGATTTAGGTGGTGTGAATATTCCTCCTCTTGGTCGTCATTATAGTGCTAACTGGGCGGAAGAAGATCTTAACCAGGAAAGAGGAAGTTCTGATAAAGCAGAGATTTCTGGCATGATAAAAAAAGCAGCTACTCTTTGGTAAAATTATATATATGTATATATACTATCTAATTTATTTATCCTCCTTGTCACAGATATGTGCAGTATTTATATGTGATATTATTTTTCTGATATTTGATTATGGTAGGTATTAAACTGATTAAGGTGTTTAGTCATGTGGTTTATATAACACTTGTCATGGTCATATTTTTTTAAAGGATGTAGTTCTCTTGATTAATCAGTTTCATCACATCCATGCTTGATACAAAGAGATTCCGGTTAGTTACAATAAGATATTGTAACAAATACTGGACAGCATCCCATTTTTTTATTATATACACAATGAAAATATAACAGTACATTAAAAAATATGGAATTTTAAATTTTGAAAAATATTTTTGTTTTGCAAATAGGAGTATAACTAAATGAAACCTATTATTAGCTTCAAAAATTTTACATTATTTTGCATTTTCTTTTCCATCTTCTTGGATAATGCTCCGAAAGTAGGAATAAGCCAGTTCTAGTTGACTAGAGTCATTATTAATCCTAGAGGATTAATCTTTATTTTCTTTGTTCTTGGTATGTTAAGTGTCAATCCCATCTTTGCTGTTGCACTTCCAATGTTCTCTTTTTATATACGTTTTTGAAGGATTTTAATTACATATTTTGCTAATAATTAGCATAAAATTTCTTTATAAGCCATTGTTGAATGCTTTCTCTTGATCTTTGATGGCCATAACATACATGATAGATATTCTTGTTAAAAATAAGTAAATTTGTGTCATTGGAGATGTACTTATTCTTTCTGACAGAATAATTTGTTTAATTATAATGCTCAGGAAATTTATGGTATCAATGCAACTCCTAAATGTGCCCTTGTTCTTTCCTAAGCCTATGATGTTTTAGTAATTAAAAATCCTATTGTTAATTGTTCAAGTTGGGAATTTCCTTCTTGGCGTAGAAAGTTGCACTATTCATTCTTCTTCAGTTTTTTTTTTTTTTTTTTAGAAATTATTGTTCCAATTATTATTCATTCATATTATTCCTTTTCACAATTCTGTATAGGCATTTCTACCATAGAACAAGTGGTAATGTTACTACCTTCTACTCTATCACAATGTATCTTCTACATAATTAATATTACAGACTTCTGATGAATTCCATTCCTACATCAGTCTACATAATTTCTTTAGTATTTTGTTAATTGTACTTCCATTGCACTGTGGCATTAATTTGAAGGTTATTTTTTCTTTTGCAGTTGATGATTTAATTTCATTGATTCCAAGCTCATGATTTATAATGAAGTGAAGGATGGTTGGGGTGATCAATCAAAATAAAAATGGCAAAAATAAATAATAATATTTGTTTTACCATTTGCTGACGTTTCTGGTTCTTTTCTTTGCCCTGGTGAAGGCCTGAACTTCAGGTCGAAACGTCGACAAATGTTAAAATAAATATTATTATTTATTTTTGCCATTTTTATTTTGACTGTTCACCCCAACCATCCTTCTCTTAATTATTCACTACAGTCAACCATCAACCCACAATCATGATTTATGGTTTGTGGTTTTTGATTGTTTACTAATATAATGTAACTATTCATTTTGTTTGTAGTGAAAGAACACCAGGACCCTTAGTGCAAAGGTTGGTTTCAGCTTTGATGGAAGATCCTTCAAATGATTCTTTCAGTAAACTTGGTGAGTTGGTTTGATGTTTAATTAGTAAAATAATTCTTATCTATTTGCTATAACAAACCCTATAGTTCCAAACAAAATTTCTTAACACTATTTTTTGCAATTGTTCATCATCTATTTTTTATATTCTCATATAACCTTTTCAGGTCATGTCTAGTAAAGATCTTTGAAAAATTGTTTTCAATACTAATTTGGCACATTGTCAATCAGCTAAGCCTTTCCCTAAACTGTCCGTACTTCTGTCAAATACCCCTCTCTCCCCTGAAGTAACAGATAATGGTGGAAGTGTACTTTATAGTATTCATAAGAATCAGCATTTTGCTCCCACCACTTTATTTATTCCCCTCACTAATATCACTTTTTTTTTTTTTAGTTGGCAAAAAGAAATAATTTATTTGCTCTGTATAACGGACTAAACTCACTAATTTTCTATCAGGAGAAAACCCAGTATTCTTTTCTTATCTTATCACTTTATATATTTTATGGTTTGCTATACAAACATTTTTTTTAAATATGCTTTCTTCAAATTCTTGTAAAAATGGAAAAAAAAGAAAGAAAAAAAAATACCTGTATCACTACAATTCATGGAGGATTTGGGGTTCAATACTTAGGAAGTACTGTTTCAAGGCCCAACAGTTATACAGGGAGGTGATCGGGCCAGTATCGCGCTCAACCGCCAGGTTTTTCCTCTTAATCAATTATTTAACTAAGAGTGCCCACGTTATAGAGACTGGGTGTGCCCCCAAGAGGGTCTTGCATCTCCAGGCTTAATCCAGGGCTGATGAAACAGAACAAATAATTACCTGTTATCAGCTGGACTCAAACCCACAAAAGCGACAAAGGGCTATCAAATTCATGGTTTCACATTTTTCCATTGAGATACTGTGTGATTGTCATTAGATATATGAAGTTAAATTTATTTTTCAGATTCTGATTCAGATAGCTGCCCTTACTTAAGTAAACTGCCATTATTTCATACTACAGCCTGTTTTGAGAGGAGGCTTAAAAGGGAACTTGAAGCTGTTGGATTTTTGGATGGAGAAAATGTAAGAACTATTTCCATTACTTTTTTTTTTTTTTTTTGTAATTTAGTCGAATAGATAGAAGTTCATGACTGTGTTGTTTGGTGAACTTAAGATATGTGAGTAGGGTGTTCAATCCTACGTCTCATCCTTCAGCAAGTCTGGAGGGCCCAAGTTTTAACAATTTATGGATTATATACAAGTTAGGGATAATATTAAAGCTGCCATAAATTCGTTTCTTGTGAAAAATGAATATAAAAGAACAAACCACGGTTCAACGAAGATTGTGTAAACATGTGTGATAAAAGAAAAGCTGCTAAATTAAAATTGCTCTAAATAATCCTAGCTAACACAATCTCAAATACATCCGAACCTTAAAGAATGAAACAACTAAATTGCTCAAAGATAAAAAAAGAGACTATCTTAAAAATAAAATAATAGAATCGAAGATACATGTACGAAGACATAAACAGATCATTTATATGTTTTGGACCCGTCACGTCTGGAATTAGGGATGAAAATAACAATATTCTAACCGACCTGATAGACATATTAAAAAATAAGTTTAATCACTTTGACAATATTTTAAATATGGAAAATAATGATCTGAGTTAAAGAGTTCTGAACCATTTATAGAAGAACCGAGTAAAAAGAAAGTCGAAGTAGTTATTGGAAAATTAAAATCTTATTAAGCAGCAAGAACCAATAATATTGCTAATGAACTAATTAAGGCGTGCGAATATGCTGGGATTTCTAAAATCATTTGTTGGTTAAAAAGACCTGGAAGAATGAGAAATTGCCTGAAGAATGGTACAAAGCTATTTATATTCCGATTCATGAAAAGGGCTCGAGGATGGATTGTATCTTGGAATCTCACTCCTTCCGGTATGTTATAAAAAATTCACATTAATCCTTACAAATCGTATCCTGGAATATGCCGAGGAAATTATCAGAGACTATCAATGCGGATTAAAATATTAGACTGAACCGTTCAATTATTGATCAAATATTTTTTTCATAACAAATATTGGAGAAAAAATTAGAGTACAACAGTGTTGTTCACCCAGTTGTATATCAATTTCAAAAAGGCTTGCGATTCTATTGACCGCCAGCAGCTGTATAATATTTTAATTGAGTAGGGGATTCCAAAAAAAATTAGTAAATGTTGTTGAAATGTGCTTAACGGAAACACTGAATAAAGTTAGAATCGCTAATTATTCATCCGAAAAGTTTGATGTTCGTTAGGATTTGAAACAAGGTTAACCCCTTTCACTTTTCCTGTTAAATGTGGCATTAGAGCATGCCATTACAGAGGTAATGCATATTGAAAAAGGGTTAAATCTGAGTCTGGTAACACCCGTTGTTAAGGATCTTTACCATCATTTCTAATATGGATCTGATACAGAAAGGAAAGTTAGCTGGTAAGAATAAATGTATGATGGATAAATATTGGTATATTGAATTTATTACATTAGAGGTTGGAGTTAGAATGTAAAGTGGGAACAATATTATTAATGAAATTTGAAGTTGTGCTATTGAATTACTTAGCTGTGGCTGCATGATGATGACTGAGGTTATTGATGATGCTTCGATTATGTGTCATTGGTGCTGTGGTCGTCCGGGCTTCACCCTTCCTTCTCATCTCCACGGGGCCGGTAAGGTTTGAGTGTTCTACTATTCCATTTTTATTCGCTACACAGGCACCTGTGTAGAACCAAAAGGTAAAGCGGATAGAGAAGGTGTCCTTTCATAACTCAAATCCTCCATCTTCACTCGTCTTGTTTCGGCACCGTTAGTACAGTGTTGCTTTGGCGATATTGTAGTTGTTCCCTATAAAGCGGAGGGAGGGAGGTAATATCAATTTAGGATGATCAACCCTAAACAAACCGCCCACCTAAATTATGCTTAATAATTTAAAGAAAGTAAAAATACATTTAAAATGTACCTTGGTGAGCTTCAATCAAGAAACAAGAAAAACAAATGTTTATAGAAGAAAATATAATAAATATTTTACTAAATAAATTGATTACTTGAACAAGATACAAGGCATTGAATATAAAAAAAGAATAAAAGAACGAGAGAGAAAAAAACAAAAAAGGGAAAAGAAACTAGGAAAAGTCAATAGAGTCCTCAATCCTCTGAGTGATCTTCCATCTCAGAGGTAAATAATAGAGCTAGAGAGGTGACAGCCCTGGTGAAACTGCCGCAGGAGGGCGTACACACGGTAACAGTGCGGATGGTACCATCACGTCCAGTATGAGTCTAAAGAGTAGATCACCCTTGGGGAAATTTTCTGCAATAAATTTACTAATAAGGTAGCAGAGGGTATTTATGAGGAACATCTGTGAGATGAATACTTTTGACCTTTCTTTTATGCTTGTAAAAGAGGCCTAATTCTGTCCAGCTGCTGTACTATACACAACAGGGCCACCTGGTTGTGGGATAAATAATTATTGTATGGATGTGGCCTGATTGTATCTGTTTCTTTTGTGTGTTGTATTGTGGAAGGAAATTCTCTAATCTCTGAATAATTTTTTTTTTTTTTTTTATATAATATTTTTATGAATGTTTTTTACTCTAATTTATAGTGGACATAAATATATATTAATTAGCTAACTGAAAAATCCCTTATTAAATGAACAGACAAGTGAGAATTCTTAGTTACTCCACTTTTTTCTATTTCCTATTATTGAAATTAACTAATTTATGTGATATTCACTCATACATTAATATATTTTGGACCGATTTATTTTTCCAAGTAATTTTTTAATTTTACTAAAGCAGTTCATTATTCAATTTCAATAACAATAATTTTCAGTATCTTATTGATGATCAACTGTGGATATTTCATAAACTTCTTTATATATAGTTAGCTAGAAAATAGCTTTATTCTGGGACAAAGTCCCTTAAGAATAACGAGATCATAAAAAAATAAAAGATTATTTCCAGCCTGAGTTTTAGAACAAAAAATAAATAAGAGAAGGAGGTAGTCGAGGGTGCGGTCAAATAAATAAAAAATTAAAATATATAAATTATTTTAAATTAACTAATTTATATATTTTAATTTTTTTTATTTATTTGACCGCACCCTCGACTACCTCCTTCTCATATCATATTAACGGTCAACCATCTCTACATCATTAAAAAATAAATAAAATGATCTAAGAAAAAGAAAACATTATATGAACACACTATATACAAAACAAATAAAACTATAAACAAGGCAACTATGTACAAAACACTTAAAACTATATACAATGGTAAACAGTATAAATGTACACTTTTAAGAAAAAAATAAATTAAATTCTTATCAATAAGCTCTGAGTTTTCTCTAAGAAAAAAGAAAGTCCAATCTATTCATATTAAATGTCTAAGTATATAAATACTAACTAATATGTAAATACATAGGTAATAATATGTAAAATATAATAAACAATACAAATAAATAATAGTATGCAAAAACCTCATAAGAAGAGGGTGATTATTTGTTAACATAATTATACATAAGAATTTGATTGTATATATATATATATATATATATATATATATATATAAATAAATAAAAACAAATAGTAATAAACAACAATAGATGCATTGAGTGGCATCAAGAGTGGGAAATTCTTGTAATAACCCTAGCAAAGAACATCACTTTCATTTGATGATAAATGACATGAAATAAATTTGTAATGTCAAAAGGACAGCGGGTATCTGACTGTTTTTAGGACAGAAATTGGAATAGAAAAGTTTTGTATGTAAAATAGCATAATAACTAATCCTCATGTTTTAGGATGATAATGATGAAATAATGACAGAGATTAAAAAATGTGAAGAAGAATTGAAAATCGTAGCTGGTCAGAATAAGGAACAGTTAGAGCTTCTCATTTCCAAAGCAAAATATGAAATGAAACGACAAGAAGTAAAGAGTAGAATTAGAGCAATTGAAACTGAGGTTTGTTTGTTTTTTTCTTTTTCCATTTATTTTATCAATATATAAATTTTTAATATCCTCTTAACTGTTGATTTAGTTGACTGAAGTATATAGAAAGACTACTGCTGCAAAATTGAAGAAAAAACAACTGAAAAAGAAAGAAAAGGATCAAGCCTGGAAAATTCTCAAAAAAAGAGAACAACTTCTTAAAACCTTAGAAAACATGTGATAAAAAATTGTAAAAAATATTAGATGTTTTATATATTGTATTATATATGTATAGTAAAAGATTTTATAATAACCATTTTAATTTGTTATGAAATTGTTATTTTTTTTTTAAAGTATCTAGAATTGAAGTTGGTAGTTTTCGTTTCTTCTTATATATTATGTATATTATTTTTAAAAATCTTATGGTGTTATCATTAAGATAATAAAAGTTCTCTTAAAAAAATAAAACAATACTTCAAGAATATTTATGATATCTCTTTATTCTAAACATTTTCCTCTAAAGCAGAATAAAAGATGGCAGAGCAACAATTTCATAGAAGTAAAGTAAGTTCTGTAGAAAGATTGTCTGCTGTATATACAAAAATTCTATTGTTCGTTTAATGGTTTAAAATTTTTCCAAACGATTCACGTTTCTCTACTATAAAACATTTATGTGTTAAGCAATTATCTCCCTGAATGATCTATTAAATTTTTCAAATAGCCTAGAACCCCCTCCCCCTCACCTTCCTACAATTTCAGTTCTATAATTTAGGAAATATCATTAACCACATTACTTTTTCTTCCAATCTCATTAGCACGGCTGATCATACTATCCGACACAGGCAGCAAAGTAGAGGAATATTTTGGAAAGCCCAAGGTCCATAGTGCCAAGGGATGATGATGAAGTATAAAAATTCAATTACACAACTCTAAAAAAACACCCTAAAATTAATAATAGTTTAAATATTAAGTAATTTAAATTATACATGTTTTGGTGATTTTTTAAATTCTTTAATTAATGATATAAAAGATTTTAATTGTATGATGTATATAAAAGATATGTGATATAAAAGGTTGTAAGATAATTGTATCTGTAATTAAATTTATTATTATAATTTATGCCACATCAAATAAATTAATTATCATCAATAATAGTAAAATTTAAAAGAGCTAAATAACGTAAGAATCGTATCTTTCCCTATTGCTAAATGGAGAAAAATAAAGTAATAATAAATTTTTTTTTAAATAAAAGTAAATGGGGAATTTGTTTCATTTTTCTCAGTCTATAGCCTGACTTTGATAGATAGATAGAAAAATAATTTTATTCTGGGACACAGTCCCTTGAGAATAACAAAATAGAACAAAATTAAAAGATCACATCTGGCCAAAATAAAATCAATCGAAAAAAGAAATAATGTAAAAAAAATATAAGGTAAACATTCTATATACAAAAAACGAAACTATATACAAAACAATTAATACTATGACAAGGCACCTAAAGCTATTTGCACTGATAGACTCGTATACACTTTTGAGAAAATAATAAAGAATTAAAATTAAAAATGTATCAATTAATCAATCAATGAATTTGTATGTATCAAATTCTCTATTAAAATTAGCGCGAATGGTTAGCAACTATCTGACTGTTCTTGGGATAGGAATTGGAATAGGAGGTTTTTGAATTTGGATATGGATGGGGAATGTCGAATTTTGATAGGGAGGGAATTCCAGAAATTGACAGAGCGAACAACAAAGGAGTTTTGGAATGAGGCAGATCTGTGAGAAGGCATGTAAAGGTTAGAAGGTCGAGATCTTGTGGACAGGGAATGGACTGAGGATTTGAACTGGAGAAGGTTGTAGGCGTAAGAAGGATGATGGCTGTTGATTATTTGGTAGAGGAACGTACCTAGGAAATATTGTCTTCGGAAGGAGGGGAAAAGCCACTTTAACTCAGCGTAGTGGTGAGAAACATGGGAGTATCTTGGGGCCCCGATCACAAATCTTACGCAGCTGTTCATTAGTCTTTTCAGTCTATCACGGAGCTCCACAGAGAGGCCATCATACACCACACAGCTATAGTCAAAGTGGGGGAAAATGAGAGAGAAAACTAGGAGTCTACGCGTATGTTGAGGTAGGAGATGGCGGAAGCGATGGAATAGTTTGAGGGTGGAAATTGTCCGTCGAGAGATATGAGAAATATGGTGATTCCAAAGGAGGTTTTGATCAATGAAAAATCCTAAATTTTTAACAGAGGAGTAGAAGGAGATTGGCTGGTCATTAAGGTGAAGGATGGGAAAGTCTGGATGGGATCTAAGAAGGGGCTTGGAAGCAATGACTATGGCCTGAGTTTTGGCGCCATTTAACCTTAATCCATTTACATTTGCCCAGGCACTGATTCGATCTAGGTCTTCTTGGATCTTGGCAAATGCCTCCAGTAACTCAGGAGGGGAAAATGATAGGTAGATCTGTGAATCGTCTGCATAAAGGTGATGGGAACAATGGAGAATTGATTTAGGTAGGTCGTTAATGTAGGAGCTGAAAAGGAGAGGAAATATGCTTGAACCCTGGGCAACTCCAGAGGATAAAGAAAGGAAGGCAGATAGTGGTTGGTTGGGTATGGAGACTGCTTGGGTACGTTGTGAGAGGAAAGATTGAAACCAAGAGATGGAACTATTGGAGAAGGATAATAATTTCAGTTTGTTGAAAAGGATGGAATGGTTAATGGAATCAAAGGCTTTGGAAAAGTCGAGAAGGATAAGGATGGTTAACTTTTTATCATTTATTGCAGTTTGAATGTCGCTGGTGATTTTAATTAAGGCGGATTGTGTGGAGTAGCTGGGACGGAAACCAGATTGGAGAGGATCAAGTTGGTTGGACTTTTCAAGGAAGTTGGAGACTTGGGATTGCACCAATCTTTCTAGGGGTTTTGAGAGGTTGGAAAGAATTGAGATTGGGCGGAAATCTTCGGGTGAGGTCGGATTAGAATTTTTATTCAAAGGAAGGACAATGGCTTGTTTCCAAGATGTAGGGAATACTGAATTCTGAAGGGAGAAATTGTAGATGAAAAGAAGGACTGGGAGGATTCCAGGAAGACATAATTTTATTAGTTTGACAGGAATGCCGTCAGGTCCTATGGAATTGGTGTGGGATTTCATTACAGCGGTTAAAAGGTCTGTAGGGGAAATGTCGGAAAAATAAAAGTTACTGTCGTTAAATGGTATCTCTATAGGGAATTCGGAACAGGAGGATAAAGGAGAGGTATTAGCAACAGATATAAAATGCGAGTTTAGATCATCAGGGGATATTGGAAACGCTGGGGTAGGGGATCGGGAAGGATCACAAAAGGAGAGTTTACGAAGCAGTCGCCATTTTGATTTTATGTCAGGAGTTGAGGAAAGGGCTTCGTGGAAGTAGAGGGACTTCGCACGCCGGATCCTTGTTTGTGTCAAGTTACGAAGCACCCTGAACGCTTGGTAGTCATCTGCAAGCCTAGTACGTCTGAAGCGTCTACGAGCAGCCTCGCGCCTCTTCTGCAGGTCTTTAATTTCCTGACACATCCAAGGAGCAGGCCGGTGACGAAATGTAGAGGTTTTGAGAGGGGCATGGGTATTGAGGAGATTGGTAGTAAGAATATCGACCATAGAGTCGATAGAAGTGCAAGAATATATTTTATTCCAATCTAGGATTTCCAGATCAGGTAATATTTGTTCTCGTGTAAGGGAATCTAGATGGCGGAAGGTGATAGTTCGAGGCTGAATTGGAGGAGTTTGGATATTATATGTTATTTGTATCAGATCGTGAGATGACAAAAAGGATACTGGCAGTTGTGAAGAGGAGAGGAGGTTTTGTGCAGAGTCTATAATATAGAAATCTAGCCAAGTGTCGGACCTGCTAGTATGGTGAGTGGGAGAAAAAGGAACGATAAAGAGGTGAAGGGAGAAGAATAGGTCTTCTAGATAGGATTTGTCATTGGAGTTAAATAGGAAATTGGTATTGAGGTCACCTGAGATGATTATTCTGGGACAGAGGGGAACGAAATTCAATAGGCTAGATTCAAAGGACGTGTGAAATGGAACAAGAGGAGGACGGTATACCACAGCGTAGAGGAGAGGAGAAGTATTACAAAGGATTTCAACTAATAGGTATTCAATTTGTGGGTGGTTGGAAGATGGGGATAAATCGAGGATTCGGGTCTTCAGGCTATTGTGGACAAATATGGCTACTCCACCGCCAGTCCGGCTTACCCGGTCATGACGGAAGAGGTTGTAATTAGGCAGGGAGACAGAAGAGGATGGGATATAAGGTTTGAGCCAAGTTTCGGAGATAGCTATAATATGATAAAAATTTTGAGTGAAATATTGCAGGAATTCGTCATAGTGGGCGAGGAGGGATTGAGAGTTAACATGGCAGGTGATTAGGGTACTAGACATGAGAAGTATTTGGAAGGAGACAGTCAGAGTTCGGTAGAGAAACACTAAAACAAATAAAAAATACAGAAAAGCTATTACAATTAATGAAAATGAGAAAAAAGAAAGTGTTTAAAGAAACAAAAAATAGAAAGCATATAGTAAATAATACATAGGCTAATATGTGGAAGTGAAGAAATACAAATAAAAGCGAAAATCTTTCTTCGAAGGAAATTTTGTCAGTAGTTATTTTGATAAGGATAGAGGGTAGACGAATTCTGTGTAGTCAGGTAAATATATCGAGGTCCGAGGCCGGTTCGATCATGATAACCTTATGCCCGTCCTCTTTTCGACATCGCACCTTTCCAGCGGCAAACCAGCAATATTTGATTTTCCCCGCTGCTTTCTTCTGTCGGGTAAGCCAGTATAAGTGCCTGTTCGTGTGAGTCATCTCCTCCCCCAGATATATCCGGTGGCAGTCATTCTCCTGCCAACCGATATCCCGCGTGGATTTTTTTTTATACATCCAATACTTTAATTGGATGTATAAAAAAAAAAAGAAACCATAACATCAATGAATATAAGTCTTAACCTGGGACTTGGCATGGGTGGATGAAGCCTGGTGAAAATTTTACTGGGCATCCATACCTCCTAAATAGGCCAGTGCCATTTGTACAGGGGTATAACATATGACAGCACCCCCATGCATACATTTTTCCTGTGAGCCCTTCCTTTATGAAAAAATAATCAATTTTATCCTTTACCCCTTTGGTACTCTGCTACCTACAGACATCTTTCAAACTCCTTAGTCACACTAAACGGATCATAATTACGTACGCTATTAACAAATAAAACTTATCATAAGAAAACATTTTGTTGAAATATTAACTAGTTTTTTCTTTATACAATAAGCCTTCCTGCTTCTTATTGGACTGCATCCCTTGAATTATTTACGCCACTGGATGTGCGAGTTATACCTAGATATACCTTTCTACTTTCATTAATGATCGGTAAATTTTGAATCTCTAGTAATCTTGTAATTTTTATAGGAACAACAACTATAAGTTAGAAATAATGA